TCCATCAGTTGACAAGTGCCACCATTGAGTCTGGCCTCCTCCAAAATGGTTCTCTCATCTTCCATCTCCCTAATATGGGCCATCATAACCTCTCACCCAGACGTTTGTAATAACCTAACTGGCCCTCCCCCTGGCCTCTCCTTCCTGAATCTCTTCTCTTTCCAATCTATCATACATACTGCTGCCAGCTTGCTTTGCAAACTTTAAAGCACTACATACATGCCAGTTATTTTTATGTTACTCCCTCCAGCACTTAAAAAGCTTTCAATCTCTCCTCAGTGCCCACACCAAATGAAGCTAGCATTCAAAGCCCTCCACAAATCCACCCAACTTCCCTTTCTCCATCATCTTCTCCCACTGCTCCCCTATAAGTACTGGTGCCCTAAATGAACATGCTCTCGTGCCTTTGTTTATTGTTCTACATTCTCCTGGTTCACACACATCTTTCTTTGTAGAACCCTCCTGTTATTTGGAGCAGATCTTTAATACCCTCACTTTCATGAAGATTTTCCTGATATACCACCTGCCCTCCTTGAAAGATTTTTTTCCCTCATTGGGAAAATCTGTTAATATACTATTAGAACTTGGGAGTTTTATTCTGTGGGATTTTTTTGGGGGGGTTCCCATCTTTCTTGACCCTATTTGCCTTTTTTTTTTTTGAGGCAATTGGGGCTAAGTGACTTGCCCAGGGTCACACAGCTACTAAGTGTTAAGTGTTTTGGTCGGAGGCCGAATCTGAACTCAGGTTCACCTGACTTCAGGGCCAGTGCTGTATCCACTACACCACCTAGCTGCCCCCCCCATCTGCTTTCTAAACTACTATATCACTATCATGATAGGATTGTCCCTTTAATTAAATCTATAGTTTGTAAGGTTAGGGACATTTTCTCCAAGTGAAAAAACCCTCCCATGACTAAAAAAAACCCAAACAACAGCCAAGAACCTTTAGAGTCCTAAATTAAATAGAAATTTTATCAATGATACTATCATACAAGAAACTTTCAGTTTTGACTCCTTCCTGTCCTTCATCCCTTTACCTAGTACAGGGATGGGGAACCTTCAGCCTCGAAGCCACATATGGCTCTCTAGGTCCTCAAGTGTGGCCCTTTGACTGAATCCAAACTTAGGACCTTAACTTAAGGCCTGCTGATTCCTTGAAATCTCTCAGATTTATACCATGCATACACTTTTGAAATTGCTCCCATGCCAAGGTTATTACAACCCGCTCTTTGCCCTCCTCTTCTTTTCCACCTTCAATTCTTCATGCACAATAAGGCGAAAAAGAATTTCCCCAAACATCATTTTAATCATGTACATATGCTCCCCAAGGTAGGTAGGCCCACTTCTTGTTTCTCCTACTCCCACCTGGAATATTTCCCTCATTTTCACTCAAGTCCTTTAAGTGCTAAGCTTGATTTCATTTATATTCCTGATCAGAACACTTAATACCTAATTATATACTACCACATTTACTTGCTAATTGTCTCATCTACGTTCAGTTTATCACTCCAACTAGGTACTGTCTAGTATTGAGATACAAGTACCATTCTTCACCCCCCTCCCACCTACCACAAAGGCCAAGACCATTCATTCCCATTTTGAACTGGACATAAGGGTTTCTTTCCCATTCAGGATTTGACCAAATTTGACCCTCTTTATCTTAGGAGATCTCCTAAGAGTAACATAAGTAGTATAAAAGGATTTGGCACCGATATTGATATTTCATCCGATTAGCCATTAATATCTTAGAGGACCTAAGCAATACTTCAAGCTTTGGTCCGCTTTTGTTATTGTTGGTTCATTCCTGTCTGATTCTTTGTGACGCTGTATGAGTTCTTTTTTTTTTTTTTTGGCAAAGATATTGGAATGGTTGGTCATTTCCTCTTCTAGTAGATTGAAGCAAACCGAGGTTAAGCAACTTGCCCAGGGTCTCACAGCTTTTAAGTGTCACAGGCCACATTTGAACTCAGATCTTCCTGACTCCTGGCCCAGCATTCTATCCACTGGGCCACCTAGCTGCTTCTATTTGGCATGCCTGTGGGTACTTATTAATGCATTTTAGTGAACTTTGGTTATTGGAAAAACCTTAAAATGTTTTAATACTGTAACTATTCACTCCACTACTATAACCAAGTTCCAAAAGAAGCTAGTAACCGATAGCTTTTTTATCTACTTGGCTATTACCAAAACCTAGTAGGCTAGTATTAATAATCATTACAAATATCTTGACTTAAATTTTGCGAAGTGCTTGAGGGTAGGCAGCACAAGTCCTGGTAGTTTTTCAGATAGGGAGACTGAGGATAAAAAGGCCAGGCAACTTTTTTAGTCACAGTTAAATTCATAGTCAAGATTCCAACTTTGGTCCTAATGACTCCAAATTTTTCAATTCATGCTACCTCTCTAAAATACTTTTGCTATATATTATTTTAAATATAACCGATTATATTTTAAGTGCAATTAAATAGCAATGTCTAGTTTGACATTCTTCTCCAGAAAATTTAAACACTGGCATCGTTTTTTTTAAAGAAATGACAGACATTATAAAATCTGACCTGTTAATGATATCAACTGAAAAGCCTGTAGATTAGAAAAGTATTATTAAACCCTTTGATTAATGTCAGGGATTCTTAAGTTGGGGCCCATGAACCTGTTTGTTTTTAAACATTTACAACTGCATTAGAAAATAACTGGTTTTCTTTGGAATCCTATGAATTTTATTTTATACATTTAAAAAACATTATTCTGAGAGGGGGCCCATGATACAAAAAAGGTTAAGAATTCCGTCTTAAGCCAAGCAATTCTATGTGATATGAATCTATAAAGCTCCTGTGGTGTAGGCAGGGATAGGGACTGGTGTGAAGAGAACCTTTTCTTTTATTAATAATGACTGGGGGCAGGGAAGTGGTGGTGGCAGTCCAGCTTCCAGCAGAGAATAAAAGGAGAAACAACAGGGTAGGAAGGACAGGTCCCACAATCTTAAGAGACCCATCCTGACCAAAGTCCCAGCTCTGCTTACTAATTAGTTGTGCGACCCTGAATAAGTCATTTAACCTTGCTAAGTCTCAGTTTCCTTAATTATAAAATGAGGTTGAACTAAATGTTTGCTGTGTAAAAGGCACTGTTATTGATACAAGGATATAAAGTCCAGGCAAACTATAAAGAGAAATTGGAGGGAGAAATTACTAGGGTGTCACTGTGGAAGGGGCAGAGGGTAACAGAAAAATTGAGAAGACTTCATGGAGGTGGGACCTGAATTGGGCCTTGAACAAAGGGCAGGCACAGATACAACTGTGGAGGGGGAAATGAGAGAAAGAAGGGGCAGACAGAGTATCTAGAGTCTACTCTTACTCTAAAATTCTGTGATTCTTTGCCCAAATTATACTGCTAAAAGGGTCAAAAGGTAAAAATTAAAGGCCATCAACATGAATGTCACTAACTGCTTTATTTTAAAATAATATTAGTGCTTAGTGCTAAATCCATTAAAAAGGATGTTAGAAGACACTGGATGAATCCTGAAAACATTTCCTAGTGGCTCACGTATCAAGCTACCACTTCCGAAACCACTCCCTTGGATACGAGACCTTTAAGACCAAAGTTCCCAAATCAGCTATTTTTTCCAGAAAGCACTAGCTAAAAACAATACACAAAACCCTGCACAATAAGCTAATACCATAATAATGCTATGGTTATAAAAGCTCACACTGAAATCATAGGTTTCAATATTAATATTCACAAACTCTTTCAGAGCTACATATTAAAAACTAAAAATGTGTTAACTTAAGAAGACACAATAATAACCTTAGTTTTAACATCTTCTTTACACTACTTACAGAAAAACTACAAGTTTCTTTATAAACCCAATCTCTATTTCTTCCCAGGGCTAAAAAGGAGTAAGAACTTACACTTTTTCTAACCAGGTGGCACTGGCTCTGACCCAACAAAGGTCAATCCCTCCTTTAAATATCTTAAAGTATTAGTCACAGGTACTTTCCCCTTTAGGAATGCCTTTAGGGGCAGCTAGATGGTGCAGTGGATAGAGCACCAGCCCTGAAGTCAGGAGGACCTGAGTTCAAATCCGACCTCAGACCAAACACTTGACCCTTAACTAGCTGTGTGACCCTAGGCAAGTCACTTAACCCCAATTGCCTAAAAATTAAAAAAAAAAGAAAGAAAAAAAAAGGACTGCCATTTTAGTTCAGGAGATAAATTGTATTATAACATTGAGGAATAATAATCAACAGCCAATAAGATCTCTGTGGATAGCATTAGAATAAAAAGAGATACAATAAAATGTAAAAAATCACTAATGCAAAAACGTAAAACTTCAGAACATTTAACTGAACTATTTAAGCTTCTTAAAAAATTCTTAATAGATCATCTTAATCCACCCCCCTCAAACAAACATATAGTTTCTCTTTAGAAGATATAGGTTAAAATAAATTAATCAATTAGCATTTAAGTGCCCGCTATGTGCCGGACAATGTTCAAGGTCCTGAGGACACAGAGACCAAAATCAAATTCTTTACCCTCAAAAAGCCTACATTCCTTTTCTTTTTTTTTTTGGGGGGGGAACACATACCAAAAAAAATACACACTAGATATATCCAAATAATTTTTGAGGGGGTGAGGTATACAGATCCAATATGAAGAACACTCTGTTATCAACAGAGGGCATACTGGAATGGCAGAGTAAAGTATAACAGAGGCACAGGCAGGCTGCAGCTGATAATGATGTGCGCCAGGAAGCAGGGAAGAATGGTAGGAAGAAGGAGCTTTGGCCCTGGCAATCCACAATTCAGAATCAAAGGGTTTCCAAGTTGGGCCATAATGCAGTGGTCACAATTTCTATTTTAGCAACAGTAATGTTTATTTGATTATTATTCCTAAGTAAGAAATGGAAAGTCAGGGTGGGAAAGAGGAGTTCCTAATCTTGCTTCATGGTTAAGGGAAAGGCAGGATCTGGGGTATGGAGAGGCATGAGGCATGACTGAAGTACTCACCTTCCAATTCTCAGGCAGATCAGCTCTACCCCGGGCCACTCAGAAAGTAAAATTCTTTCCCTGAAACCAAGCATTAAGGTCAGTAAGGTCATTTGAATAGCTGAATGAGCCCATTGGCTCAATGAATTATAATACTATTAGTAATGCTTCTGAGTACAGTATGTGCCAGCCTTTAAATCCCAGAGTGAGTTCTGTCAATACCAGGAAACACACTAGGAAGCAGCCAAGAGAGAAACATCAGCTGCATGTGAAACCAGACTACTTCATTGAGAATTTATTCATTCACAGTTTAGTCATAAATGAGAATTTCAAATCCTTATCAACCTATTTACCCTAAACAAATTACCCTGAGAGGCAGATGGGGGCGGTGGCCCACAAGGTGTAGTCTATCCCATTTTTAAGAAAGGGAAATTCTATTGTCCCCAAATTCCATACCTAGCCGTCTATTGGACATTCCTTAAAAGCATATTATTCCTTCATAAGTATATTACTTAACAAATTGCAGCATTTGGCTTCCCGAAATACATTGCACAAACAAATCAAGTAGATTGGGAGCTACCCCTGCTTTTCGATGAACTGAATTTCTGGAGCTTACATGTTACTACTTTATCCAGACTTCTTGCTGCTAACTGTATCTGCCTAACAACAGGCCAATACCATCTAATGAATGGTTATTGACCATGAGAAGTGAAATACAGCTTCTTGTCAGCCAATGCTGAATGAGTGAAGTAGGGAAAAGATGAGGGCTGCCCCACTAGCAATTTGCTGAATTTAGTCTTAGTATCTCTGCCCTGTAAAATGGGGTTAAGGGTAACAGTGTCGAAATCAGAGTCCTTTTGAGCAAATGGCAATCAACTTTTGATTTGTGATACTGGAGAGTACTGACCTAGATAATTGTAACATCATTTCTTCGGAGATTGGGAAGAGTAATATGCCATTGGCACCTACTGCCTTTATTTCTGCGTTCTGGGGTCAAGCACAACAAATCTTTCCCTTCTTCGTGACAGATCTTAAAATACCGGAAGACAACTATCATATCTCCACTAAGTCTTTTTCCTCCAAGTTAAATGTCTCCAGTTCCTTCAAATGATCCTCTGGCACAGTCCCTGCACCTTGATCACCCTGTTTTGGATATATTCCAATTTGTCTATGTCCTCTGGTCGACACTCCTAGTCTGATCCTCTTTAAGCTTCCCATCTTTGGTCAGTTCTGCCTCTCATACAGGACTGATTCCTAAAGGATGCTGACTGGCACTTGTCAAATGTCCCTTTCAGATACTTTCAATACTCCCTTTTCAAATACCTCTTAGTAGTGCGTCCCTGTTCCCATTATCATTTTTTTTTGGGGGGGGAAGCTAGGCAATGGGGTTAAATGACTTGCCCAGGGTCACACAGCTAGTAGGAGTCAAGTGTCTTAGGCCAGATTTGCACTCTGGTCCTTCTGACTCCAGGGCTGGCGCTTTATCTACTGCGCCATGAAAGAAACTCTTGGACAGAGACTTAGTCACTTGCCCTTGAACTAGGAGGCCCAGACTTAAGAGAAATTATATTTGAATACAATATTTTTATAAATTTTTATTTTTATTCTGAACTTAAGAAACATCAAGTAAATTGGGCATTTACATATCAGCACAGAAAAAGGACTGTACATATATCTATTATGCATATCTTGCCTTTCCTTTCATGTATATATAATAAATTCATCATATAACTTCCACAGCTATCCTGCTTGTCTATGCTTCTTACTGGCCTTCCTTATGTTCTCTTTTCTGCATTAAAAAAAAAAGCCTCAATGAGTTTTTTTTCCTACCTTAATCCCTATCACCTCCATGCTCTACCCCCACCATTGAGAAAAGAAAAAAAATGCTTGAAACATAGTCAAGCAAAATAAATTCCCACATTCTCTGAGTTAGAAAGCTTTTTGTCTTATTCTGCATCTTGAGTCATATCTCTACCATGAAGTAGAAAACAAGCTTCAATCAGTTCCTCCTTATTGCACTCATTAAGAGTTCCAAGTCTTTCAAAGATGTTTGCTTTATAATGTTGCTCTGATTGTATAAATTGTTCTCCTGGTATGACTCCCTTCACTCTTCATCATTTCATACAGGCCTTCCCAGGTTTTTCTGAAATGGTCCATTTTATCTTTTCTTATAGCATAACAGTATTCCATAACATTTATATTTCACAATTTGTTCAGCTATTGCCCAAAAGATGGGCAGCCCTTAGTTTACAATTCAAATACATACACACACACACACACACACACACACACACGCACACACACACGAATGCTTTCCCACTGTTTTTGAAGTCTTTGGAGAATAAACACAGTAGTGGTATTGCTGAGTAAAAGATATAGATAAGGGGCAGCGAGGTGGTGAAGTGGATAGAGTACCTGCCCTGGATTCAGGAGGATCTGAGTTCAAATGCGGAACTCAGACCTGTAACACTTACTAGCTGTGTGACTCTGGGCAAGTCATTTACCCCTAGCCTAGTGAAAAAAAGAAAAAAGATATAATAGTTCAATGACTTGTAGGTTATGATTTTTTCCTTGTAATTATTTTTTTAAAGTCTTTTTATTGGTATCTTGCTTTTTTATACCATCAAAATTTCCCACAGTATCCCTCCCCACCCACCTCCCAAAAAAGCCACCCTAGATGACAAATAATATTTTTAAAGAAAAAAAAACCAACAAATATATCAAAAGAAGACGAAACATATGTAATGTACCACACTCATGGACTTCCCATCTCTGCAAAGTGGTGGGTTGGAGGCGTTTTTTCATATCTCTTCTTTGGAACCATGCTTGTTCTCAGTAATTTTGCAACATTCACTTTTGATTGTTTTGTGGTTCTTTCCATTTAAGTTGTTGTGGTCATCATGTATACTGCTTTTTTTGGTTCTGCCTGCTTTACTCTGCAAATCTTTCCATGCTTCCCCTATGATCATCATTTCTTATTGCACGATAACATTCCATTACATTCATATACCAGTTTATTTATGGGTTATAATTTCAGACCACTGTCCACAATGGCTGGTTCAATTTGTAGCTCTACCAATAGGTACATGAGCATACCTGCCTTCCCTTAACCCTTTCAACAACTGTCATTTTCCTTTTTTTGTCACTTTGTCAATCCGATGGGTAGGAAGTGGAATGTGAGTTGCCTAAATTTTCATTTCCTTAATTAATGATTCAGAGTACTTTTCACTTTCATTCACATTTCAGGTCCTTTCCTTTGAATATTGCCTATTTGCAGCCTTTGAAATTGGGATTAGGAACTATTAGGAAATGGTTCTTGTCAATAAATTTAAATAGAGAAACTTGCTGTGTTTATTTCCTCCTTTCGGTTGTGTACCTAATCTGCTCCACTTAGCCACCTCTCAGTAATGTAAAATTTTAATCTCTGAAACTTTTATTTTTCCTTCTTAAAGACCAGCCTTAGGCCAAGTTCCACTTGGGCATTGTTTGGGCCCTGATTGGCTCAGAATGAATGTAAATAGCAATTGCTTCTGTTTTGGCCAGAAACCCTGAGGGTCTTCCCCTCCCAGATTGATTTTTTTTTTTTTGAGCAGGTACCAGAGGCCATTCTCTGCCTCTTTTCTTGTTAAGCTTTAATCACTGAATGGGTGTTACCTCAGTAAAACTAAGACCTATTAAAGACCTTAGCTTGAAATGGCCAAGGACCCCCATTGCATCCTGGACCATCTCCATTTGTCCTGATCTATACCTGGCCAATGGACCCAGATGGCCCCAGAGGAGAAAGTGAAGCTAGTGCTTAAATCCAATTCACTTGTATGTCATATACCTTCCTGATTATCATGGTCCTCTTCGAGCACGAAAGACAAATAACAACAATCCACCTCTTATTTTTTTAACAATGCTAAATAGCTTTCACGATTACTGCTTTGTAGCATAGTTTGAGATCTGGTACTGCTAGGTTCCCTTCTTCTCACTTTTTTTCATTATTTCCCTTTTGAGATTCTTAATTTTTTTTCCCCTCCAGATAAATTTCATTTTCTTTCTAGCTTTATAAAATAATTGTTTGGTAGTGTGATTGGAATGGAACTGAATGAATAAATTAACTTAGGTAGTATTATCTTTTAAAAAATTATATTGGCTTGGTCTACCCAATAGTAATTAACATTTCTTCAATTATTTAGGTCTTTATTTCTGCAAAGTGTTTTTGTAGTTACAATCATATAGTCCCCATATATGACTTACTAGATAGACTCCCAAGTATTCTGTAGTATATTTTGAATTGAATTTTTTTTTTATCTTTCTGCTGGGTTTTGTTGGTAATGTTCTGAAATGCTGATGATTTATGTGGACTTTTTTGTCCTGCAACTTTGCTGAATGTATTTTCATTTAATTTTTGGTCAACTCTTTTTTAGAGTGCTTTAGCTAGATGATCATATGATCTGCAAAAAGTGGTACTTGCTTCCTTTTAGCCTAAATCTTTAGTCCTTCAATTTCTTCTTCTTGTCATTTTGTGATAGCAAGCATTTTTCACACTATGTTAAATTACACTGGTGATAATGGACATGGTTGCTCTGCCCCATCTTACTGGAAAGGCATCTAACCTTTCTCCATTATAAATAATGTTCACTCTTAGCTTTAGATAGCTATTACTTACCATGATAAGAAAAAGTCCATTTATTCTTATGTTTTCTGGAGTTTTTTTTTTTTTTAACAGAAACAGCTGTTGGATTTTGTCCAACAAAATTTGGTACCTATCAACATCACCATGTAGTTCTTATTATTCTTGTTATTAATGTAGAAATATTATACTGATAGCTTTCCTTAGGCTGAAACAATCCTGCATCTTGGTATAAACCTAAATTGATCATAGTATAAGCCCTTTTTATGACAATTTTAAGCCTATTATTTTATGGTAAGATCTAATAATGAAATAAAACCTGTAGTTCTTTGTAAAAGCTGTCATTTTGACAGATGGTCTAGTACAGGTGAGTAAGGACCAAGTACAGGTTCTTGACTACTTCTATTCTAATATATAGACTAAAGAAGATCTGGTCTTTTAAACAGATGCTGTTTCGATAAAATAATCACACTATTAAAACATTTATTTCTAATTGAAATTCTAGTCTTTATCACATGAAATAAAAAAGCTGAATTTTTTTTAAAAAAATAGCCAGCTGATTTTCATCATAGCAGAAGCACAACACAGACTGTCTATTCCTTCAAACAAATCTTGTGAGCCCAGTGGGCACCCAATGAATATCTTTTATTCTACCTGGGGTCTACCAGTGGTTAACTGTAAGGATATAAGACTAAAGATGGAACTCATATCTGCTTTCTGATTAAAAAGAAAAGCAAGAAATCCAAACGCTTTTAGCAAGATTGATGCCCAAAATGAGGACCCAAAGGAGGTAAGAAAGACGTGCTTTTTGTATTTCAGTGAAGACAGATACCTAACCACCATAGGTTACCATAAACTTTTAAGATGTCTTATAATTTTTTATTTTAAATCTGTTTCTCTGTAGCTATTATAATTTTTTAAAACCTTTAGAGGAAAAAGCAACCTAAGGAGGCTGAAAGGGAGGGTGTGTCCCTACTTGTTTCAAAAACAAGGCAGGGGAGTAGTTGATAACTTGTCATCTAATCAGCTCCTAAGTACTGCCCACTCTACCCCCCACACACACATCTACAGAATCCTTTCCCTTCTCCCCATTCACATTTACATCACTCTCATCACCTCTGCCTGGATCATGCAATAACTTTCTAATTGGTCTTCCTACCTCAAGTCTCTCCTATCTTCAAATGATCCTCCATAAATCTATAGAAGTGATATTCCTAAAGCATAGATCTGGTTGGCCTTGTTAGAGTCCTGGTAAATAAACTCCCATGGCTCCCTGTTACCTCCTGGATCAAATACAAATTCCTTACCTTTCCAACCTTATTCTAAATCACTCTCCTTTGCACTCTTTAATCTAACCAAACCGAAACTTCTTGCTGCTCCTCCCCACACAAGACAAACCATCTCTTCTCTTCATGTTTTTCTGTATACTACGCTGTATACTTCTCTGCCTGCAACACACTCCCTCCCCACCTCAGCCTCTCAGAATCCAATGTCTCCTTCAAAGAAAAAGCTCAATCATTTCCTCCTACATGTGGCCTTTCCTGAACCCCACAACCAGCTGCCAGTGAATTTTGTACATACTACTTGAACACATACTATGTCCTCAGACAGAATGGGAATTTCTTGAGGGAAGGCATTGTTTTGTATCCTCAGTACATAGCACCACGCCTGGCAACAAAGCATATGCTTAATAAATGCTTGTTCATTTTTCCCTAATAGGAAAAAGCCCCAAATATCCAGTTTCACACACAAACTAGGTGCTGTAGAAGTGATATTTTTTTTTAAAATTTAAATACAGTTCGACATCTGTTTGAATACAAGGAAGTCATTTCTATGTCACGTTCCATCGTCAGCGTTTCCTTGATCCAACAACAGCAAATATTAAACAAAAATCCTGTAGAATAACAATCACCAGTCTGCTCCTAAATACATCATTGTTTTGGCATTTTCTAATTACGAAGTAACATATCTTTGGACGCCATGTTAGACAGTCTTAAAACCTGATGGGAGTGAATAAAGATGGCTGCGTTATTGCCAAGGGGAGGGGAGAGAAGGAGGAGTAAGAAGGATTTGCTCGCTTCAGTTTTTTTGTGCTATTTTTAAAAGCTTTCTACCAAGTTCAAATTCGTCTTTGTTCCACAAAATTGGCTCGGAAAGGGGTTTTGGCAGCAGAGGGATTAATCATCGGCTCATTTCCTTTGAAATCTTTTTTCCTTTCTCTCCCCTCATTTCACCTCCCCCACCCCCTTCAATGCGTATGTACATTTTAGCCAGACAGAACATCCAAACGCACTTCCCAGCCCAGTAAGGGAGAATCAGATCACCAATATCATTTCCTTCCTCCTCCTCCTTTCGATAAGACTTGGGGAAAAACCAGCCCACCCCCGCGCCTGTCCCTGTCCCCCGTTGCGCAATAGAGAAAAAGCCAAGCCAAGGCATTTTCCGAGCGCCGCCGCCCTCTTCCTCCGTCTCCTCCTCCAGCTAGTGATCCCGATCCCAATCAAGACCAGGGGGAAGAACAAAGAGGGAGCGAGAGAAAGGAAAGCCCGCTTAAAAGCAAAGTGCGCAACAAACCCGCAGTAGGCCGCGCTGGCTCCGAGCCCCACCTTGACACCAACCTGCCTGAGGATGGGACCAAGAACTACAGTGCTCCAGGCTTGCCGTAAGGCGGCTGAGACTGAAAACTGCGTACTAAACAGCGATCCCACTTCTAGGAAGGGTAGGGGATTTTTTACCCATATCTGCCATTACCTTTGGGGCCTTCCCTCTCATCCAGCCCATCCGCTCACTTACCTTCCCAACCAGAAAGAACGGCAGCTTCCGCGCATGTGCAGACTGCGACACTGCCCGCAGAGGAGACCACAGCCCAAAAAAAACGTCTTCCGGTCAGCTGAGAAAGTGAAAGGCGGAGTCAGGCGAAGTCGGAGGAGTACGATGACGTCAGCCTTGGCAAAAGCCTGGTGAGAACGGTTTGGGCTCCGTCGGCGCATGCCCAATAAGACCCACTCGGCTTTATCCACGCCAACGCTTTTCCGGTTTTCGCTGGTTAGGGAGGAGGCCGAGGGGAGGAGCAGGGAGAGGAAAGGAAGAGAAGGATAGAAAAATGGAGAAGGCTCTAAAAAAAAGAGGGTGGGGCAGAGCCTAGCTGAACCGAACCCACAAAACAGAGCTGCAAGGCAGCGAACGCAGTAGTGCGTTGCTTCCTGTGAGAAAAGGACCCCTTCTTTTAACGAGAGCCGCTGGAGAAAATGGAAAGCAGTTTGACCCAGCATACCGAAATAAATTGCAAATAGATACCCGCCCCAAATAGCACGTTTTTCTTTTAAGAGCAGAGACAACAGAAGAGACGTGCCTCAGGCCTTTCCAAGTGGCAAAGCTGCCAAAAGACAAGTTGTACATGCTGGAGGGACTTCGAGAGATCAGGAACACTAAAAGACTCTTTTTGGAGCTATGAACTAACTTCAGTCCTTCTGAAATGTAATTATCAATCAATAAGCATTTATTAAATGGCCATTATATGCCAGGCATTGTGTCAAGCCCTGGTAATACAAAAACAAAAAGTGAAACAATCCTGACAAGGAGTTGTGGGATACAACATGAACATGTATAAATTTTTACAGAATTAAATGCACATACTAGAATGTCTCACATTAACAGATGGAGGCAATTGACTGGGGTTATAGTAGGGACAATTAATCAATCAATACACTCCCAAAGAGAATTGCTATAACAATTGGGTTTGTATTTCTAAGATATACTCACCAAATTGATCCTTTACATAGTTTTAAATTTTTCTTTCTTTTTTTAACCTTTTTAAAAAAGAGACTGGCTCTCCCTATCTCCTCCAGGTGCAATGGACATCCATCAGCATGGAATCTTTGATCTGCTCGTTTTTTCAGACCTGGGCCAGTTCACCCCTCCTTAGTTCTGGAGGCTCATCAAACTTAACTGTGGACACTCATTTGGTTTTATGGCCTATTGCAGCTCACAACTCCCAAGGTCACGTAATCCCTCAGCCTTAGCCTCCTGAGAAGCAGGGATTGCAGGCCACCCACCCACACAAATACAGTATATTTTACAGTTTTGATTTACTTCCAAATATTCCTAATCCTTAGGAACTTCAATGCTTTCAAACTGTGCTTTCCGACAGCATTTCCCATAAGTCTGTTGCACTGTTTACCAAAACCAAATTAACTCCTTGACAAACCAGAGTACACACATTTGAAAGCTTATGACATTAACTTGAGGAGGAGCACTGTTTCCCAAATAAATATCTCTACTCTTTAATGACTCCTGTTATAAATCAATCACAGCATTCAAATGAAAGAGGATCTAACACAATGTTACAAATGCCCCAAATAAACAGTGCTTCTATATAATACTTTCCATACTTATAGTGCCCAAAACCTATAAACATAGCACCAACATAAAACAATATCATGGACTTATGACATAAACATGAAATAAAGCTTATTGCCAGTCTAATAATATTAATCCAGTTGAATTGAATCTCCTAATCACCTACAGGGAAACAAAAAAATTCATTCCATTCATCTACCAATTTTAGCAGTCTATGCTGACTGCATTCAGAAACTAGCACAGAAGATTTTCCTGGTTTTAATATCACACCTACAAAGATGGAACACTAGCAATCCCAAGCACAGATCAACTATTCCATGAATAGTAACTGTCCTCAATTAATCAAACCCAATATTGATGGAAAACCTAACATAAATGTACTCAAACCCAATATAAATTCAAATTTTAAACTTCTTAAATTTAAAAGTTGCTACATGATTCCAACTTCTTTTCCAAATTCACAAGAATACCAGTATCCATGAAGTTAGGCTTTGAAATCATTAGAAATCTGAAAACTAGCTCTCCAGGGAGTAAACAAGTGTTTCTGAGTGGAGTTTATACCTCTGTCAAGCATAGCAATCTCTGTTTCACTACTCTCCTCTTATCTCACTGATGTCTAAAAAAAACTTCATTTGTTTTTCTACTTAATGGTCCCTGTTTAAGTGAAAACTCACTCATTCTATCTTTCTGATTTTGGAGAATCAGAAATTGAAGACACTAATCTGGACTTTAAATGAGGTAATACTACTGTATTCAAAGTTGTATTTTTAGAATTTTCTTCTTTCAAAAGCATCTCTATACATTTCTTGGTTTTTTACAATCGGGGCTTCAGGTGTATATCTCATCAGTGTAAACAACATTTCATTTCTTTTAATTGTCTTGACCAATTTTCCATTTTGAGGCAGTCCAAAATCAGCCCTACTTTATTCCCCTTCCACCTTTGCTTCTGACTCTGAGGACTTTACCACAATGCCTCAGCTGCCTTTTCACCCTGGAATTTCTCTTAGTGCCTGAGGCCTTCTGGTCCTGGTATGTCCCTGTACCTCTTCAGCCCCCTTCTGGGGCCCTCATTTTAAGACAGGCCTAAGCCTGCCATGCTTCAGGAACTGGGTTTGTTTTTGGTTTTTTGCTTGTATTAGTGTCCCCAGGGCTAAGCACAGTGCCTGGTACATAAGTGAACTCTTCATAAATGCTTGTTACCTTGCCTTTTTTTTGAGTTATTAACTCTGTTTAACCCAGACTGCTGTAAATCACAGTATTGCATTTCTATTTATACTGATTCAGAATTTCATTTTCTTAATACTGTTATTAATTTCTAAACATATACTCTCTGCCTTCAAATCATGTTTCAGTGTTATGTTTCAGATCAAGTTTCCTTTTTTCCCCCCAATAAATCTCTTTTGCAAATTAGCACAATATTCCTATTCATCTCAAATTCACTGCAAAAGTTTGCTTTTAGGCGATCAGACTTGAAACTTTCAGTTGTATTCACAGCTTCTCCTCACCAAAAAAACGACAAGAACAACAATAACAAAAAACATTTTCAATTTGGTTTCTTCCCCAAGAACTAGCAAATGCACAGTCTATTCTAATTCCTTTTAGGTGATTTTGCTTCTAATTTACCAGGCAATTAAATTCTGCCAAATCATTCAGAAGGTCAATGTGGTTGGCTAAACTCAAATCTTAATGTGAAATTTTACCTTTTTTAAAATTACTTACCCTTTTTTCTGAGGCAATTCCTTTTCTCAAGGCTATTTAAAAGGAAGCCTCTTCAAAGTGGAGAGAAGAGGAAAGTTAAGACAATACTAGCAAGGCAGGGTTCTTAAACTGCTAGAAACAGCAAAATTTTAAATTGTAAAGTGGTTACAAAGGCCCTTTTTTCCTTCACTTTTTTTGTAGTCAGTGGAAAGAAAACTCTTAAACTGGCTTCAGCTGTGTTAAGCATTGACCTTTTTTTCTAAAGAGATTTTCACATAGACTCTCAGAAATGACAATCTGTTGCTAGCAAAAAATCATTCATTACAACCAAATCCATCGACCGCACTTTTTTATTTTTATTTTTACATTTTTTAACATTGATTTTTAAATTTTGAATTCCAAATTCTCTCCCTCTGGTCCCTCCCCCACCAACTGGTAAGGCAAGCACTATGTGCATTCTTAATTTATATTAAATAATCCTTTTTTGGAAAACATGGTAGACAATTTTGTACAAGAAACTTCATGTTTTATTTCTCTAATTTATATTTTATTTATTGTTTATTTCTTCATGTTGATATAAATGCTGATTTCCTGGGACAGAGACATTTTTATATGCTTTCTTCCCCATTCTGAGCTTCCCCCACCCCGCCCCAACTTTTCCTAAACTGGGCACTCAGTACTGACTTGGTGATCTGGTCTGCATGGTGGAGGCTCTGTCCTCAAAGCTCACTGACCTGATTTCAGCTTCAGTCCTTTATAACAGGGAACCTGTTCTTTCTTTCTGGAAGAAAGGCATTGTTAGCCTTGTTTCCTATTCCTGAGGACTGACTGATTTTAAAGTCAGTTACTCTCAAATAGGAAGATCTGTTGACCAGTTTGGGTCAAAGACTACAAAATGACCAGAAAACTATTTTGAGCAAGCATTTCTGGGTGTGTGTGTGTGGGGGGGGGAATCCATGTGCTTTTGTGGTCACACATTCTTTACTGTGGAGGATCTATTCATTTGAAGATGTCACTTCCTAGGCCTTTATACCTCTAAATACAAAATGGCTTGATATATACTAAACAATTTAATATTAAACAATGAAGAAAACGTGGCAGTTAAGTAGCCCAGTGGATAGCGGGCCTGGCCTGGAGTCAGGAAGACCTGAGCTCAAATCCAGCCTCAGATACTTACTAGCTGTGTGATCCTGGGCAAATCACTTTACCCTGTTTGCCTCAGTTTCCTGATCTGTAAAATGAGCTGGAGAAGGAAATGGCAAAATCACTCCAGTATCTTTGCCAAGAAAACCCCAAAGAGGGGTCACAAAGAGCCGGAGACAACTGAACAACAAATGAAGAAAATACCAAATGTATCATTTTTATCTAGTTGGGAATCCCTGGACAGAGAGCCATGGAGTTCTTTGAAGACCTGGAAACAATTAAACTCCTGTTCATGGAATAGGTGCTTAGTCCTTGTCCTAGGCAAGATCTGCTCTACAATATGAAAGGGCAAAAAAAAAAAGCATTCCCTTCAAGGCATCACAAGCAGTCTGATATAATTAAATTGATTTAGTCTCAGAATAGGTAGGTGACTTATAGCTGTTAGAAGAAGGGTAGAAACTGGCATAGTTGAAGTCTTACCACATATAACACACAAGGTAGCTACAAACACCTAGAGACACTGGCCACATGACCCTGAGCAAGTTACTTAGACTCTTTCTGCTTCAGTTTCCTCATCTGTAAAATGGGGATAATAATAGCACAGAGTTGTTGTTAAGACCAAATGAGATAATAATTGTAAAGCACAGGACCTGGCACATAATTGGTACCTGATGAATGCTT